AGGAGCTGATAGAAGAAGACTTAAAAGCACTGCTTGGAACAGGGGAAGATTCGCATGGAACGTTATAGGGATAGAGGAGGGTGTATACTGAAGGTGATAATAAGTAAATATGCATGGCAGTGAAATAAAATATCTTAACGTGACGGTATCGTTGTTTAATAGCTAAACCTTGTGCACATTGGAAATCAACAAACAATAAAAACGATGAAAATGTTCCAAAGAATCTTCTGCATCGGAGGGGAAGACTATCTCATTAGCCAGAAAACATACGGTAACGAATTTTTAGGATTCGAAGGGCAGCTTAGTCAGGGGTTTATTAAGCTATGATTTTCTAGGAAAGTGAAGCCGCTATCTGGTGGCCAAAATTTTGCAGTGAACAATGTAATTAATCTTCCTTGTCAAGTCATTCCTATGAAACCATAACTTAAGCGACGATTTCTTAGGAGACTGGTACTATATCTTCATCGGCCGAACATTAAGGTAGAAGACGTCACCAAAATGAGTGGCTTCTAGGAAGCGAACTAGTGATGTGGTTTCCTCGCATTCAACGCTCTATAGGAAACCATGCCATAAAATTTACGTAAACAACATTTCAGTCACGGCATCCGCCGCAATATTGCCGCCTCCAGATAATGGCTCCGCTTTCCTACAAAAACCATAATTTTAGAGAAAGGAAACAATCATTGAATACACACACACACACACACACACACATACAACTGCAGGAAAATATCCATTTCCTTAATATTTCATTTATCCTTCCCAGAACAGGTATTTTTTGAACAACCCTTGTATATTGTTCTTGGGAAAAGTTAACTTTAAAAGTCGAAATATCTTTTAGAATAAATTGTTTTCAGTGTCTGTTTTTCATCTCAAAGTAAAGTTCTGGTGACCTAGTATCAAAATTTAAGAATGCTTCCAATATTTCTCTGCGCATCTTCTATTTCCCGTTTGTTTCATGTATTGTGTTTCCATTGTTCAGACTGTTTTATGGATGAAACTTCTTATTTAATATGTTGAAGTTTGTTATTGGTTTTCTTCAAATGGGTCGATTCTCTTCCTTTTTATTATATCCTGCGGTTTCCATTGATTTTAAGAAGAATGAAATAAATTTGATTTAGTGTCGCTCGCAATGATGCATTGTTAGACAGTTTGTTGTGAAATAAATTTCTAGAAACTTTGAATGTATTGTCGTATAAAGTTCTCAAAACTATGGTATTTTGTTTAAGTTAGGTTGCATCATAAATATTATACTGGATCATAAAAATTTACGTAATTTAGTGATTGAGGTATTGAATATATTTTCTCGCTTCCAGAAATTGAAACATTTGGCGAATAAAATTTTTTTTTTCATAATTAATCACAGTTGCCCACAAAAGATCAAAATTAAGCTCAGAAAAAGGCGGAATAATATTTCTTATCATCTAAACATTTCTAATTTATTTTAAGAAAAATGAATTTGAATTCTAAAATCTTTAAACTGTTGAGATATTTTTAAATTCCTACTATTAGCTCACACTCTCCCTATATATATCTTGTTCAAAATTTCAATCGTTAATAAAATACTATTTATTCCTCCACTCGAGTTCAAATGCATTTTTTTAAACTTGTAGTGGATGACACTTAATGTTAATACAATTTCTTCAAATATTAATTCATTTAATTAAATTTAATTTGAGAAAATGCAGTTTAGCCCAACCACTTGACACGATTTCAAAAATTGCCAAATTTGGCCTTATTTTATTTGGCTGAACGTTAAGTTGCCACATTTGGCAAAATACCGCCAAATAATTCCAGTCGTCAAGGATGATTGGGTTAAACTTCATTACAACCTCTTAATTTACCGGATTAATTAATTTAAGTTTTGTATGGGAAAAAAAAATTCCACTTAATATTGTGATTCAGTCCTATGTATATACATACTTATATTAATTGTAATTATTTAATAAAAAGTAACTAAAATCAAATTTTTCTTTGTTGACCTAAGTAGGAATTAAAAATATTTTTTTTTTTATATTACTTGTTGTTCATGCCTTCTCAAGTTTTTTTTTTTTTCGCTTTTAACTACAAAGGATGATATAAAAAAAGTGTTACATATTATTTTCTTTGGAAAGCATGAATTAACTGAATGTTTTGCCTTAATCTGACGTACTTGAGATTTACTCAGCAGCTTTGAAACGTGTTCAATTAAATTAAAAATTATTTCTTAAATCTCCCTTTTGATAATATTTAATCACAAAAGAGCCACGGTAGCTGACAAGTGAGGTCGCAAACTCGTAGCCGGGATTGAGTTGTGAGTTCGAATCCTGTTCAATTGAAAACCGGTGGTTAAGCCTGTCTATGTTCTAAGTCCTGATGTTGGTGTGGTGTGGAAGTTTGGTGATTGGATGCGGTCCTCATTGCTTGACCATCATTCAAATTTATGAAGTTCGTCACCAGTAACCTTCCTATTGCTTCAAAATACGATGTTATTAAAATGTCAAATCAAAATATTTGGAGTACATTGATTTTTTTGTGCATTAAAATGGCGTTAATTTAAAAAATAAAATGTTTAATAATAATGTTCAACATATTGTTTTTAAATTTTTTCTTCATTTACATATTTCATCGAATAATTTTGAAAACGTAAGGCATTATTTTTATTACATGGGTACAATGTTGCAGTTAAATAGGCTAGTTGGAATATTAAGACCACAGATAAAGTCTGCATATATATATATATATATATTTATATAAATAAATAAGCAAGCACCGAATAAATTATTACGTGTTTATGATTGAACTATCGCATTCTCAAACAGTATAGTCATGAGATTAGAGAAGCTATTAATTTAATATTTTTTTAATGTACTTACTTCTAGAAAATATCTTATTAAAGGTATAGCTGTCGCTTTATTTGTTATTTGTTTTGTTTGAAAATGTTAATTATGCAATACACAACTCTCAGTTATGATAAATGTTTTAATATTTAAAACTAAAAGATTATTTTTTATTTTTTGGAGGAACATGAATACATTTTACAAAAATAGAATAAATTTGGAAAAAATCTAAAATTATTTGAACAAATAAATAATTATTATATAATGCTTTTTATTAAAATTTTCATAACATTTTTTCTCATACTTAAGAGATATTAGCCTATGTTACTTCTTAACCTTCATCAATCTATCTCATACTTAAACAATGAATAAAATAAAATCTTGTTACAGAATAAGTTATTTTTAGAAACTTTCGTAAACTACAATATTACGAATGGAGCAAATAAAAGTAATATATCTAATAATTTTTATTAATACATGACTTTTAGTCAACATGCCTATCATATAAATTCTACTTTCTTAGTACTTCTGAAATGTTGTACATCAAACTCTAGAAAATATATTTTTTAACTTTGGAATTTACTTAAAAAGTGACATGTACAAAAATTTGTTAAAAAATTCACAATATTCATAAAATCAAAATATAAATTTTGTTACTCAATTAAAAATGGGAACTAGGAATTCAGAAAGAACTATTGTGATATGATATGACGCGAAATATTAGGATCTTTTTTACTCGTCAATGATTACTGTCTAAAAATCAGCTATCCTTACTATCTCTCCTTTGTAACTAGAAAACTAACCATTCCACATGCGGCGAACTTGAACTTCCCAATGGGAGAAAGAAAATTTTTCATCAATCCTAAATTCGCGGAGTGGAAAGGATATTTTGACTTAGAATAAGCCGAATTCTAAAGGTTAATAATGGAATTCCACTCCCGTGTTTAACAATGGAATCACAAAACCGTTCTAACAATGGAATTTCTTTCCTAGCTTTACCAATGGAATATCAATCCGATATTTAACAAATGAATTATTGTTCTATAATCTACCGATATAAACAAATGAATCCGATATAAACAAATGAATCCGATATAAACAAATGAATTATTGTTCTATAAATGTTCTACCTTTATTTTGTAAATCGGTAAAATTACTTCAATTGTTTACCCTGTAGATAATTTGTATCAGTTTTTTTTTTTTTTGAAAATATTTGTTTTAAAGTTTAAAATTTCATGTATTTCTTGCTGTATCAAACACGAACTATGTTTGTAAAGTTTTTAGAAGTCCTTATTTAAAGCTGGCTTGGGTAATGTATTTAATAAAAATAAATATCTTGTATTTATGCATATATTTTTAAATGCTACAAAAGCTCTGAAGAAATAAACAAATTTTTCTGAAAATTTGATTTTTTTTAAAAAAAAAAGCAGATGTATTTTTTATTTACATTTAAATATCACACACAAATTATATGTTAAAAGCCACATAAAAAGTTACAAAATTTCTTTTCAAACAAAACTTCATTATTATTTTATCCCAATATTATTGTAATTTCTAATATGTAAAAATAAATGTATTGAATAATTAGTAGATTAAAACGTAAAGAGGATGAAATATATATGCACTGTATATTTATTCATTCGTTTTGTTTCTATATTTCAAATGTTCGATCTCAGGTTTAACATTCGAATTCCAATCCCGTATCTAACAATGGAATTCCAATACAGTTCTAATAATGGAATCACAAAACCGTTCTAACAGTGGAATTCCTTTCCCACCTCTAACAATGGAATTTCAATCCGATATTTAATAAATGAATTATTGTTCTATAATATCCTTATTTTGTAAATCTTTATAATTATTTGAATTGTTATCACTGTGGATGATTTGTATGAGCCTTTTTCAAAACTGTTGTCTTAAAATTTAAGTTTTCAAGCATTTTTGGCTGTTTCAAATAAATTGAGTTTGTCACGTTTTAGAAGTTCTTATTTACAAATGGCTTGTGTAATGTGTTGTTGTATTTATATATATGTTGTATTTGGCATATATTTGTACATTTTACACAAGCTCGCATGAAATAAATAAATTTCTCCTGAAGCTACATTTAAAAAAGCAGCTGACTTTTCATGTTGTTCTCTTGCTGAAGGAAGGTATAGACAAAGAAGTTCTTTCCCTCCGCCAACGGCCATACCATGCTGAAAACACCGAATCTCGTCCGATCACCGAAATTAAGCATCCTCAGGCGTAGTAAGTACTTGGTAGAGTGACCACCTGTGAACACCACTGTCATTATGTTTGCCAAATTTTTGGCATAAGGGGAAGAAAAGTCTTGTCAAAGGGGGAGGAGCATCCTTTTACATTGCATCGATAAGATCATTTTGAAATTTGTTTATGAAAGTTGGGTATTTATTTACACTTAACCCTTTCGCTATCAGAAGGAGAAAAAAAGAAGTGCTTCTCTGGGCCCGCTACTTTTTACTTCGGAGTGTCACGCTGTGCCCAGACGATTTTAGATGTTAAGCCTAATTCATGAAAAAAATTCCCCTCAAATCGACTACCCATTTAAATATTTTGGTATTTACATATATTATTAAAAATGCATTAAACTTAATACATACGAAAGAGAAAAATGATTTATTTGAAAATTCTATGTTTTTGCATAAAATAACTACATAAAAATCATATCTTTTAAGAAAATACAAAATATATTTACATTTGTTACATAAATGTTATGGTATAATTATGAATAATTACATGGAAAATATAGATATAAAAAATAAATCTTATTTTGCTGTATGGTGGCAAGCAGATAATTCTCTAGCTCTTGTCTTCCTTTCCTCCACTTTTCTTTCACGTTTCCAATGGAAAATTGCAGCTGAGTAGGTGGCCGGAATGTTTTCGTGATGAACGTGAATATCTTTTCAATCGGATTGAATAGCTTAAACTAATGAGACCAGTTTTAGTGTTTTGGACTTTTAATATGTTTTTAGGACATATAGAATCATAATATCCAAGCATTTCATTTATAATATAGATTTATTGTCAACCAGAAGTCGATCAAAGTCATCTCGACACAGCAACAACACAAGTAATGATATGACAGTTACTATCAACAGTTTACATCAAATACGCAGTTACAGTTATCAGAACATATAATATGTAACTTATATATATATTCTCTGTCTGTCTGAGTTGCTCTGTTGAGTGTTGCATTCATATGAGATTTTTGTTGTTGTTCTAATAAATTAAATATTCTGTTTGCAGGAAACGTATGTTAAAAAATTATTATTCATTGATTGCTTTAATTGATTTCGTAATTCATATATTTTTTTTATATTTTCTTTGTCGAATGTTTTCTGTGTTTTGATTTTCAGCTTCAATGTGTTTAAGAAAGTTATTTTTTTCTTATTAAATTTTTTTTTAAACTTTTTATCACAAACTGAACTTAATAATAGAAAGCAATGGCCTTTCTCACAAAAGGAAATAAATAGGATTTGAGAAGATTGGCTTGGGAAATGGGACTCGTTGTTGCAGAAGATTTACGCATATTAGATATAAAACAGCAGATCTTAAATTCCGAAAAATGTGAAGAAAATTCAATTAAGAATTTCTTAATGAATATAATTGAGGGGCGGCTTGAGAAAAATAAAGGAGCCGAAGAGATGGCATAATAAAAAAGAAAGAAAGCTGAATTGCAGGCAGAACATGAAAGAAAAAAAGCTGAATTAGAGGCAGAACAGGAAAGAAGAAAAGCTTCAATGGGTTTTCAGTTACAGAAGTTGAAACTACAACTTGAAGCTAAAAAAATGGAGTTCCTCAAGGTAATGACACGGACATCTCTGAGCAGTCAAAATTAAAATTGAAGAAGTTTCAACTCAAAAGAAGACGACATAACGAAATTTCTCAAACTATTTGAGAGACAGCTAAAATTTTTAAAAGTATCTGATAGCCAATGGGTTGCTTATCTAATTAGAATCTTACCAAGTGACATAGCTACACTTATCGCTAGGGAAACGGAAGAAGAAGCACAGGACTATGTGCATGTGAAAGAAGTGCTTTTGAGGAGATTCAAGCTCTCTGCAGAAAAATTCAGACAACTCCTCCTTCAACATAAGAAAGTTCAAGGGAGCACTTGGAGAGATTATTATTTTGAAATAAAAAGTTATTTTGGAGGATGGCTAAATGAACTGAAAATTGTAAACTACAACCAATTAAATGACTTAATCATATCTGATCAAATTAAAATACGCGTACCTCCCGAAGTGAGAGACAATTTCCTGGACGACTGGTCTGAGTGGGTGTCACCTTCTGAATTAGCAGACAAATTGGATGTCTATTGCAACATTCGAAATACTACTCCTTCAGTAAAGAAGACTGCCCATTCAAGAGAATACCCTTTTAAACATTATGCTCAGAAAAGAAGCACACCTGATAGCATATTTAGTAAAATCATCCAAGCCGGTTCTACCCCATCTTTTAGTAGAGGTGATAAATTGGACACTGATGACAAATTAGAGAGACCATCGGTATCATATATGGATGCTGTAAGTCAGGTGTTACGAAACCCAGATGTCCAAATTGAAAATCAAGAGCGAATAAGGACTCAGTAAATTTTAGCAACATCAGTTTGCATCCATGCTCTTTAACTCCAAATCTAAGTACGGTGCTGAAGGTAGCTGTACATGACACATAGCGAACTGCATGTGCCGATACTGGAGTTAGTCACATCATTGTTGGAGAAACCTTATATCTCCTTTTAAAGAGAGAGGGAGCCAACTTTCTGAAGACTACTCTCTATGTCACTTGCTGATGTCCAAAAGTCCGACGTGGAAGTCTACACAACCAGTGTAGTTATCAGATTTAAGGGACGTGTCATCCGTACACCACTAATAGCTTTGCCTTATGCTAAAGGAAACCGAACACTTTTGGGATAGACGTTTTATAAGAAGCTGGCATTGTTCTGAATCTCAAACCCCGCAACTAGTTCTTTAATGACGTATGATTGTGTTAAAGAAGTAATTATTCAATAAGTGCAAACCCAACCCACAACATTGAGGAAAATACATGCCTACTGCGCACTGACGAAGGTAAATGTCTGACACCTGAGCTGAGAAATGAATTGAGTACATTACTAAAGATGTACGAAACTGTCTTTGAACCTGGGGGAAAGCCCACTCCCTTCAAGGAACACTGTATCAACACCGGAGACAGTTCTGTCTCTGTGAAACCCTATAGGTTACTACCAGCATAGAAACAGTTACTTAAGAAAGAGCTTGATAAATTTTTGAAACAGAACGTCTGAGAAGAGTGTGAATCCATTCATGCTTCGCCTGTGGTGCTTGTTCTCAAAGCGAACGGGAAAATCCGTCTTTGTATCGATTATACAGGTCTGAATGCTAGGACAGTGGCTAACTCTTACCCATTACCTAAGATGGATGACCTACTTCACGAAGAGAAGAACACAACTTTTCTGACAACTATAGATTTACAATCAGGTTACCACCAGGTAAATGTCTGTGTTTCTGACAGAGACAAAATAGCATTCGTGTGTCCATTTGGAACTTTTCGCTACCTTCGAATACCTTTTGGTTTAAAAACGACCCCAACCACATTTCAAAAACTGATTGACAAGTTCCGCAGTGGCCTAATTTATATTCTCATTCTTTTTTACCTCGATGATATCATAATCCTGTAAGAAATCTTTAAAAAACATTTCGATGATCTCAAAGCTGTATTTGAGAGACTTTTTCTATTTAAACTACATGCAAAACGAAGAAAATGTGATTTTGCTTGTGAGTATCTTGGAGTGAAATATTTTGGACTCTATATCATAAGTTCAGGAGTGGAAGTGGACCCTGGAAAAACCTCTTAAATCAGGAAAATGCTTCCTCCCAAGAATGTAAAGCTGGTGCAGTCATTCCTGCAAACCTGTTCGTGGTACAGAAGATTTATTCCTAAGTTTTCAGAGGTAGCCAGACCTCTCAGCAATCTCACAAAGAAAATTCGAGCTTGGTCTTGGGGAGATGAAGAAGAAATTCTTTTCAAACTTTGAAACCACTTCTAACCAATCCTCCCGTTTTGAAACAGTGATGCCACAAAATCTCACATTCTTCACACTGATCTAGTTACCATGCATAGGGGATGTAATCTTGCAAGCTAAATGTGAGGAAGATCATCCTATAGAATATGCAAGTAGGCTGTTAACTACTGCTGAGAAAAACTACTTCACCACCGAACGGGAAGCTCTTGCCGTTGTTCGGGCACTAAACAAATTTCGAGGTTACATTGAGGGCCAAGAAATTACCGCAGCATTCAATCGCTAACCCCTAAAGTGGTTTATGACTTTAAAATCACCTTCAGGTAGACTAGCGAGGTGGGCCCTAAGACTCCAGTCATTCAACTTGAAAATGGAATATATCCCAGGAAAAGCAAATGTCATAACAGACTTGTTATCCCATCTCGTATGTGGACATAAGGAAAAGTTCTGTGAAGTGTGTAGTGTAACTATCGACATGCCTAGTCGTAGCACTGTGGACGTACAAGATGAACAACTAAAAGATCAAGACATTAAGAAAATTGTAGAATATTTTGAAAATCCTGTGAAAGATGAAAACTATATCAACTGGACTAGACGTGGTTATATAATGAATCAAGGACTCTTATATCGGTATTCTCCTGGCTCTGAATCTGAAGAAGCCCAGCTAGTGATCCCCTCTCATGTACAGAACCGGGTTCTTCAAGAGCACCACGACTCTCCAACTGCTGGACATTATGGAGTTGATAGAACATTCTATCGAATATCTCAGAGGTATTGCTTCACTGGAATGCGAAAGTATATTCAGGACTATATTAAAAATTGTAATGGGTGCAACAGGTACAAACCGTCGAATCAGAAACCATCTGGTTTCCTGTAGACTCCAGTGTATGGTCAACGTTTTGAGACTCTTGCTATAGACTTATTTGGTCCCTTACCGGAAACTTCTGACGGTAAAAAGTGGATTTTAATTGTTGGGGATTACACAGCAAAGTAGGTTGAGCTCTTTGCGTTACCCTTCGCCAAAGCAAAAGAATGTGCTGTCACTCTTCTTGTAGAAGTCTTTTTGTGATATGGCCTACCCAGGCGCATTATCAGCGACAACGGAGCACAATTTGTCAGTGCAGTTATGCAGTAGGTAAGCTATCTTCTAGACATAAATCGAATGTTCCCTCCAGTTTACCACCCACAAAACAATCCAGTTGAATGGCAAAATCGAGATCTAAGACCTCGGCTTCCAATCCTAGT